TCTCCCTCTCCCTTCCTCTCTGAAATAAATAAAAACATATTTTTAAGAAAGGACTGTACAAAAATATTGGATTCTAGTTAATAATGTGGACACCGAAGCATGCAGAGGGAAGTGTATTCAAGTCGGCCTCCTACTTTTTTTCAAGTTAAACACATTTATTGCACATTCACTGTAGGCAACTGCCAAGTCCTCAAAATACAAAGCTTGTGTTACCTTTGAGGATTACCTTTGAGGTAATGTCACCTTTGAGGACTGCAGAGATATACCAACTGTATAAAAACGACTTGGTGGAAACATGTAGGAGAGGATAATTTGAGCGAGAAAAAGATGACCCTGGAGGTTTGGGAATGGATGTTTCAGTATAAACAGGGTTCAGAGGTGTGAACATGTGGTCTACCTGAAGATTTCTTCTCATCTGTCCCTTAGTTTCCATGCCTTCAGCCATTTTCTACCTCTGCCTTCTCTATATTTATTTTTGCCACTTTATACTTGCAGCTCTTTCAACTCCCTTGCCTCTAGTTCATCCATCTTTCTACTCACTACCACTTAACTCTTGTGGGGAGCACTTTAGCAAAGCTACTTCAAAAGCATGAAAAGTCCAATGGAAAGATCCAATAGTTTCACACACAGCAATTCATACTAAGGAAACAGAGATGCTTTCAAAACCTAAATTGCTTAAGTGTTATTTATAGTAGCATAAATATTTAAACTTAAATGCTTAATAGGGAACTATTGGATAAATTAAAATACATCTTTAGGAGACATTAAACCATTAAACTTTTTTTTCAAGGAATATTTAATAAGGCAGACAACATGCTTCTCTAACATGTATTTTTATATCACAGAAGTTGATATAAAGCAAAACATCCTGTTTTGGGTGAAAATGGTCTGCTTTATGTGTATACTCTGAAAGCAATTTAAAATGTACAGTAATTTCAGACTTCGGAATTTAAATAGATGCCAGTGTCTTCTCTTTCTTCATATGGGAAAAGGAAATTGCTTTGCAAATCATTTGAAGCTTGGGCAAAAATTCCACAGCTCTATTTTTAGGCTCACTCTGTCGTCTTCAGGATTCAGATGATGCAAGGAAAGCTTCAATTCAACCTTTTAGAGAAGATGCTCCAGCTCGCATGATCTCATCGACGTGGAGAACGGTGGTGGCAATCACAGGGCAGGCGTAACGAAGCTGTGTCCTTTACACAGTCGTTATCCCAGTGCCTACTCTGCTGCTACCACTGGCTCACCTGTGTTCAAGTCCACACCCACAAGTGGACCTGATTCTGGATGTTCTGAGTGTTTCCTGAAAATCAAAACCAGAATTCTGAGCAAGAACCTTGGGAATAATGAGCAAATGAGCAGCAGCAAATTCTTGAACGCCAAGCTGGGCCCTGCCCTTTACCCTGGGCTCATGTTTGATCAGGGCTTCTGCCATTGCCACTTCCACTGCATCAGCACCTGGAGCGACACAGCCATCAATAGCATTTTAACGGCCCTCAAGACATCTCTTATCGCATCTTTGATCTGAGTGACTGTGTGCTACTTGGTCACATTTCTCAGTAAAGGTTAACTTCTCTTCTCCCAAGGGATACTCATAGACAGGTCCTGCATGTCCCCATCGAGTTAGGCCACCAAAAGAATTTAGAGCTGCCCCACCACAAGCAAGAATCAGCCTTTCCATATTTCTCCTCTTAGCTCTGTGCAGCTGCTATGCCCTCTTTTACAAGAGCATCTAAAGAAAATAGGTCAATTCCCATTTGATTAATAACAGCAAATCCTTTATCTGAGTTACCACAGGGTTTCCTTTTCAGTTCTACTATTTTTTTAAACTCTATCTTCAATGAATTTTCCTTCAGTTTTTACTGGTTTCTCTCTTCTGCACTCTTGTAAAAAAAAAAGCCAGAATTCACTTTTTTTTTTTCATATTCTAATGACACATTGCATTTGAGGATGTATGCATCTTCCACTCTTTTTCATGTCAGGATGTCATGCCCCACTATCCAAAACAAGACCTGTGATGAAGCTTGTATCAGTTTCAAATTTATGTTTCTGCTCCATGATCTCAACCATTAAGAGGTCAATAGGTTCCTCTTGTTTTTTAATGGTCAAAATGGAGTCAACTACAGCTCCTGCTAAGACATCAGCAAGTTCAGCATGAACTTTAGTACACAGAGATGCCTGGCCACATCATGAGTGTTTCTCTGTCCATCTCTTTGCTTACTTACTTTTTTTTGGTCACAGAGTCAGACGAAATGAGCTGTGAAAGAAGTGAGCCAGCTGCGTGGATGCAGGAATCAAGTTACAGAGGCAAAAGGGCCCTTGGAGCTTAGGAGAAAGAAAGCAAAGGTCCGTGCCTTGAGGGAAGGAAGGGGGAAGGAAAGGGGTGTGTGTGTGTGTGTGTGTGTGTGTGTGTTGTGTGTGTGGTGTGTGTGTGAGAGAGAGAGAGAGAGAGAGAGAGAGAGAGACAGACAGACAGAGAGACAGAGAGAGAATGAGAAAGAGAACGAGAATCTCTTTGCTTACTTTGACTTGTTCTAAAAATGGAAGTACCTCTTCCTTTGCAGCTTCAAATCCTTGTTATGATTCTGGATGAGAGCTTCAGACACTAGAGACCCATCTGTGTTAGCAGTTCTCCAGCGATTAGGACACCGGAAGTGGTACCATCATCTGGGCCGTCTCCACTTTGGCTACCAAGGAGGCTGTTGGGCACTGAACTTGCATTTCAGGAAGCAGCACTTGCCATCTTTAATAAGCTTGATGTCTCCAGCACCAGAAACAAGCATCTTCATGGTGCCTTTAGGCCCCAACTTGGTCCTCAGAATGTCCTACAACCCCCAGGCTGTGTTGATGTTAACCGCCAACACTGTCTGGGCTTGGGCCACCTCAGTCTTGGGGTGTAGGGTCTTCACAGCTGACCAAGCAGAAGTAAGAGACCCGGCGTGAAGAATGCCCAAAGCCAGCTCCCAGCCTCCTACTTTGAAGAGCATTACAAGAATAAGACGGACTGATGGAGAGCTGATGCAGCTACAGCAAAGTGGTCATAGTAGAAGCCAGGCAGTACCTATGTGAGTACTCGCTGCACAGATTCTTTCAACTTCCCTGCGTGTTTGAAACTTACATGCTGGAGAAAAATGTGTATAGACGGCCTCATAGTGAGTGAGCAAATTAATAAGCCTGAAAGACTAGGCAGAAATCTGCTGATATGTTGTCTTTACACTCTCCTGTATATACTCCAAAGTGTGCTGGCATTACTTTTATAATAAACTTTTTTTCAAGAAGGAAAATGGCACCAGAATCAATCGATAAATATACGCATTTATTCCAAGGGCATAATTAATGCCAAGAAGAAAGTCCCAGAGATCAGCGTGGAGTGAGAGAAAGCTGCTGCCCCTTGACCAAGGGCGGGCGGAACCTGGTGCTTCTCTACAGCCCAGCTGTGCCGGGAATTCCAGGGGCAGAGCTCATGGCTGGGCCCTGGGCTGTGGGCCCGGGGTCTGGCCTGCCCACCTGCCAGCGCGTCCCGTATCCCAAGAAGCCCAGTGTCAGGAGAGGCGGCAGAGGAAGTCGTGCAGGGGCAGGGCCAGGAGCCCTGACAGGGAGATCCCCAAGGTGTCGGACACACAGGCGGTTGCCATGGCAAATTCCCGGTGCTCGTCACTGGTCTGGGGGAGGGGAGACGGGGAGCAGGGGTGAGGCTTCCGTTCTCCACACCCCTGCCCTGGCTTTCCCCAGAAAGGCCACCCACAGCCCTCGCCGGACCGGCGCGGACCTCCAGGGCGATGTTGTGGAAGGTGTTCACGTAGGCGGCACCCCCCAGGAGCCCCTCATACAGAACGATCAGGAAGACGAGGTAGATGCTCGGCAGGAAGCTCAGCCACACGTCCAGCAGCAGGAAGACCAGGTTGAAGCACTGTGGGTGCAGGTGGAGGGCAGGGCTGAGCCTGGACTCGCGGCAGGAGGAAGGCAGGCTGCCATCCCTCCAGTGGCCCCAGTTCTTGGAGACACTGATGAGGGAGAGGGCTGGCGGGCTGGGATTGAATCCCAACATCCGGCTGGCCTACCAGACCCTGGGATCTGGGTCACGCCTTCTCTCTACCCTATCCCACACCCCAGACCTCATGGGTCCCCTCTCTGGCCCCTTTGCTCATGTCACTCCTACTCCCTGGAATGCCATTCCACCTCCCCTCACGTGGGATCCCTTTGCCACTGTCCAGAGCTCAGCGTGGACCAGGGTCACTTACTCCTGTGACCTCATTCCTCCTCCCAAGGGCTCCCTGAATAGTTTCCCCCACTGAGGCTACAGTTAGGCCAGTGGTTCTCAATGGGCTTGGTTTTGCTGCCCACAGGACGTGTGGCAATGTCTGGAGATCTTGGTTGTCACAACTGGGAATGGAGGCTGCTATTGGCATCTAACGGGTGGAGGCCAGAGGGGCCGGACAGCCCACCACAAAGAATGATGTGGCCCAGCGCTGAGGTGGACACACACCAGCTTAGCCGTTCCCACCTCAGTTAGGAAGCCTCTCTGACCCCACCCAAGGGTGTAGGTCCCGCCTCAGTGCCCCGGCCCCTCAGGGGATCCCAGTGTCCCATCCGGAGTGCAGGGTTGTCACCAGGGCAGTTCACGGCTTGATGCACATGAGGGTCACCCACAGGCCTCACCCTCAGAGGTCCTAATTCATTCCGTCTGAGCGAGGCTCAGGAATCTGCATTTAAAAGGACACACTCTGGTAATACTAACGTGACCTGTGAAACACTGCAAACACTTTCATCTGCAGCTTTAGGCTATACCAGCCGTGGGCAAACTACGGCCCACGGGCCGGATCCGGCCCGTTTGAAATGAATAAAACTAAAAAAAAAAAAAGACCGTACCCTTTTATGTAATGATGTTTACTTTGAATTTATATTAGTTCACACAAACACTCCATCCATGCTTTTGTTCCGGCCCTCCGGTCCAGTTTAAGAACCCATTGTGGCCCTCGAGTCAAAAAGTTTGCCCACCCCTGGGCTATACGCTTTCTGTAATGGAATTAAATGATTATACGCCCCTATTTCTACAAAGCAGCCTTGGTTGAAATTATAGCTAAAGTCACAAACTACACATCAGCAGCATCTGATGAAGAACCCTGAGTTAAGATTTATTAACACAACAATTTGGGCCTTTGGTTCTACAGAGCCCTGGGCTGGCGGTACTGCTTCAATAAATAAAGGAGAAAGTTAGAGGATATTGGCATGCTGTTGCCATAACGTTAAAGTGCAATCTATACTTATTCTAGATCTTGTTACGGATTTAAGTACATTAAAAAGGGCAAAGGACATTCCTATAGTAATTGAAAGTTTATTTTAATAGTTACCTATGGGGCTATAGAAACAATACATGCTGATTATGTAAAAGCACTTTTCTTAGCCCAGCTGGAGTGGCTCACTTGGTTGGAGTGACGTCCTGTGCACCAAAAGGTTACAGGGGCATGTTCGACCCCAGTCAGAGCACATACAGAAGACAACCAATCAGTGTTTCTCTCTTACACTGATGTTTGTTTCTCTCTCCCTTCCTCTCTCTAAGCATGTCCTTGGGTGAGGATTTAAAAAAAAAGTACTTTTGTTAGACTGTTGTAGGGAAAGGTGTTTGTTTTCTTAAAGCTGTAGATTACTTTTGTCAGGGGTAGTTGAATTTGCTCACCAGCCTTGAGACATACAATCTGTTGAGTACAATGTCACTGATCCTATATAATAAAAAGCTAATATGCAAATTGACCGAATGGCAGAACGACTGGTCGCTATGATGCGCACTGACCACCAAGGGGCAGGCGCTCAATGCAGGAGCTGCCCCCTGGTGGTCAGTGCGCTCCCACAGGAGGTGCGCTGCTCAGCCAGAAGCCAGGTTCACGCTGGCGAGCGCAGAGGTGGTGGCGGGAGCCTCTCCTGCCTCCATGGAAGCCCTAAGGATGTCCAACTGCCGGCTTAGGCCCACTCCCTGCCTAAGCCATCAGCGGACATCCCCCAAGGGCTCCTGGACTGCGAGAGGGGGCAGGCTGGGCTGAGGGACCCCCTGAGTGCATGAATTTTGTGCACCAGGCCTCTAGTTATATTTTAATTAACCATGCAGAGTAAAAGAATGGTGCATTTTCTTATTGTTAGAAACGTTATTTGAAGGCCTGTGTCTCTGCATGAGGCCTGTGGAAATAATCATGATGTAAGTGATTCTAACTGACTGAGACACAGTATAAAGTCCTGTTCTTTCATTCCTCTTCTCATCTCTATTTCTTACAACTACCCTGAGAAGTAGATGGTGGCTATGCCTGATTTCTAGATCAGGAAACCAGAAATTGGTTTGGAGACCTGCCCTACGTCACACAGCTACTGAGTACAGGAGCTGGGATTTACATCAGCTTTGCCTGGCTCCGAGGACACACTGACACGCAGCCCTGCTGGCCTTCTGTTCCTGTGCTTGGGGAAGCTGGGAGCGAAGGTGGGAATGGAGTGGGGGCCAGGGGCCTCTTACCTGCAGCAGGGCCAGGGCCCATGTGAACTGGATGCGAAAGCAGCGAAGAGAGGAGCGGGAGGCAAAGACGCCGGCCTGGTACAGCATCTGGTACCTGAGATAGGGGCAGGGAGGAGGAGGAAGCCCTCTGGTGCCTACTCACATGGCAGCCCCTCCTACCCCAGGCCCACCCGGCAGACTGCCCGTCCTGCCACCCTCCTCACTGCTCTCACCAGCGGTACTGCTGAGCGTGACTCAGGGATGTGTTCCGGAAGAAGAGGAGCTCAAACTGCAGCAAAGACCAGACAGGGAGATGAATGGGGACACGTGGGTCCCCACCTGGATCTCTATTCCCACACCCCGCCTGGTGCCCTCACTCACAAGCCCCTGATTGATGAAGTACTCAGCAAAGTAAACCAGGACCAACGGGAGGATGTAACACTGCAGGCCCTGGAAGAGCCAGAAGACATAACGTACGTGGTTGGCTGGGAGACGGGCACTGGCCACAGGCGGGGAAGGGCCCCAGCCACCGTCCATACCTTGAACACAGTCCACTTCTCCTGAAGGGAGAGGCTTGGGCTGGAGTCTGCAGAGGAGCAGGGAGAGAAGAGCAGGTGAGGTTGGCGTACGGGCTCCGCCAAGGGGTGCTGCTGGGAAAGAATCAACCCGCCAACGCGCAATTGTACACTTAAAATGGTTAAACTGGTCAACTTCATGTTATGTGCATTTCGCCATGGTTAAAAAAAAGACAAGACCTCTTCCTGGCTCTTGTACAGTTTGACGGCTGTCCATCTCCACCCCAGCCACACTGGCCCCTTCTTTCTGTTTCTTGAACATCCAGGCTCGTCCCCACAGCACTTACTGCTCCCTCTGCCTGGAACCTGCTCTCCTGAATGTCCACGGGGCTGATGCCTTGTCCATCAAATTTTAGCCCAATGACACCTCCTCAAAGAGTCCTTCACTGACCACCTTCTCTAAGCAGAACTCTCCATTTCCCCTAGTTGTCATTTTCTAGCACATCACTGCTTTATGTCCTTCCAGCACTTACCAATGTTTCTGATTCAGTTGTTTGCGAGTCGGCCTCATTTCCTCATCTTACTCACCACGCACCCCCGTGACTGGAGGGTCTGGCACACAGTAAGTACCCAATGAGTATTTCCTGACTAGCTGACTGTGGTCGGCTCTCACGCATCCCCTTCCCCTTCCCACGGTGCACTGTGGGGAGGAAGGCTAAATGAGGACCTCCTGTGTCTCCGACCTGGCTTCCACTCGGGGGCCTCGGGGGCCTCGCTGCTCATCAGGGGTTGCCGAGCTGCCCTCTCTGCCTCTTCTTCCCCTCCAGGGTCCTGGGGCCCGGGCGATGTGAGCAAAAAGAAATAGCTAGGAGTAGGTGGAAGGAGAGAAGGGACAAGAGCCTCTGTCAGGGGGGAGAGGCACCCCACCCCCATCCTGTGCCAGAGCCCCAACTACAGAAAAACGCTTTCTTCCCTGGAGCTGGAACTTGTCTCCTTGTTGCTTCGACCGGGGCCTTTGCCTGACTCCTGGCTCACACTACGCCAGCCAGCTGTTTGCTTGACATATTACTCTAATGGCTGCTCTAGCTACCGCTTATTGTGTGTTCATTCTGTGCTAGGCCAGAACCTCCCAAACTTCACTCATGTTTTGTCTTCATGCTATTTGCCATATCCACGTTCCTCCTGTGTATAATATGTTCTACTTAATGCTTTCCTTCAATTGACTCCTGGCTCACACTACGCCAGCCAGCTGTTTGCTTGACATATTACTCTAATGGCTGCTCTAGCTACCGCTTATTGTGTGTTCATTCTGTGCTAGGCCAGAACCTCCCAAACTTCACTCATGTTTTGTCTTCATGCTATTTGCCATATCCACGTTCCTCCTGTGTATAATATGTTCTACTTAATGTTTCCCTTCGATTCCCTTTTTCTACATGGCCTTGTCCTAAGCAATAATCTGTGAAATCACAGGTTTGATTGGTTAAAATTTTTTTCCAAATACACATCAAATTAATTAAGTCCACCCTCAAGTCACCTTGGGAACCACACTGTACTGGATGCTTCACACACATCGCCTTGCAGGGAAGCAAGGAGAATGGCCACCGTTTGAGATATGGGAACACCGAGGGTCAGAGAGGTAAAGCAGCTTGTCCCATCCCACACGGCTAACATGTGGCGGCTCCAGGCTCAAATCCAGGCCTGACAGAGTCTAGAACCTGCATCCCTCATAACAAGGCTGAAGGGATCTGAGGATTCAGATCCTGATCTAGTTTTGTCTCCTCAAACCCCTCTTCCTCCCAGCCCCGCAAAGCTTACCTGGCCAGCAGCAAGGCGGGGATGCCCAGCATGGACAGCAGGGTGTGCTGGGGGGAGAGGCCCACCTGGGTGAGGCCCAGGTAGGACAATGCCCCCAGCAGCCCTGCTCCTCCAGTACCTGAGGACCACCAGGAGATCACAGCCCTGAGAAGGAGGACACTGGAGCACTAAGAAGGACCCACGCCAGCGGTGGGAACTCCTCTCCCCACTCCCTGCTCCCTGGCTGCTCACCTGGGGTAGAAGGCGGTGAGTGAGAGGAAGGTGACCTCCCCCAGGCCTGATGAGATGCTGGCCAAGACCACACCTGGGGGGAGGACAAGCACGACAGTGGCCATACTTAGCCCTTCCCCATACCCCAATCCCTGGCGGTGTCTGGCCATGGCCTCCTCTGCATCAGCTCAGAGGGGCTAAAAACAGATCCCTGGATGGGCGGGGCTCCGGATCTGAAGTAGAACCAAACTCTCCTCTGAATGCCCTCTCACAGGGAAATGAATGGCACTAACACCCACTGTCATCAAACCAGGAGCAAAAACTCATCCTGGATGCCTCCTCCACCCGCGATGGAGTCTTGGTTCCTCTGCCCAGCTCCATCTCCATCTAATCCAGCGGTTTTCAACGACCCCTTTGGCGGTCGAACGACCCTTTCACAGGGGTCGCCTAAGACCATCCTGCATATCAGATATTTACATTACGATTCCTAACAGTAGCAACATTACAGTTATGAAGTAGCAACGAAAATAATTTTATGGTTGGGTCACAACATGAGGAACTGTATTTAAAGGGCCAGAAGGTTGAGAACCACTGATCTAATCCATCCATTTCCTCTCATGTCCCCCCCCACCTACCCCTCCAAATTGACCTCATCTCCCGTCTTCTCCTTGAGCAGTCCTAGCAGCTTCTGAGGGTTACAAAAATGATCTCTTCCCTTTGCGGAGTTGGGGTGACTACTCCCACAAATGCTCTGCTGCATTTCCTCTGGGCCCCCCACCTAATACAAAATCTCATGCTCACCACACAGGCTGGTCACCACCGAGTGGGAAAATGCAACGAGGATGAAGCTTCCAGCTGCACAAACCCCACTGAAGAGAACCCGGGGGCTGAGGGGGAGGGGAGGGAAGGGCAAGGTCAACTTCGGCTCTCACCTCCTTTGCCCTCCCAGCCTCCTCACAGATCTCAGCCGCCCCTCCTCCTGCCCCCTGCCCCCTGCCCCCCACCTGTAGGGCAGCAGATGAAGGCCAAGGGGAGCCAGCAATTTGATGACGAGCGTGGGGAGGATGTCTGCCAGGAGCACCGCCTGGGACAGGAGGACAGAGTGAGACCCTAGACCTTCCCCGGGACAAACCTCTGAACCAAGTGGCCAAGGAGACCTGCGACAGGCTCTGAATTCAGATCTGGGTTCAAGTCCCAGCTCTGCTGCTCCTTAGCTGTGTGTCAAGGCATTCACATTCTCTGACTCCGGTTTCCTCGTCTGGAAAAGGGTACTGTGTGCCTAGCTCACAGTACTGCTATGTGGATGCAATGAGCCAATATTAGCTACACACAGAAGGGGCCCAGGGAATGGCAGTCCTAATGATTATAATTAGGACAGTCCCAGCTGGATGCTGAGGGGGTGGGGCTGGGGGTCAGGGGAGGACCAGATGGGTACTCACAGCTGTGGAGACAGAGTTGCAGTCAAAGCGAGATGAGTTATTGTGGGGGGTGGGGACTGGGTCTGGGTCTACCTGATGGGAAAGAAGGAAGTGTTTCACCCAGGGAGGCAAGAGGGTAAACCAGTGGTCGGCAAACTCATTAGTCAACAGAGCCAAATATCAACAGTACAACGACTGAAATTTCTTTTGAGAGCCAAATTTTTTAAACTTAAACTATATAGGAAGGTACATTGTTATTAACTTAATTAGGGTACTCCTAAGCTGGCCTTTGCTAAAAACGTCCTCAATCTGATTAAGGTATGTTTGCTGAGGTTGACCCTTTCCAATTCTCCCATCCACACTCGTCTTGTGTACTTGTTTCGTCTATCTCCTTTCCAAAAACCGACTTCTGCGCATGGGCCACGAAGTTTCAATCGCACTGTACGTACGCGCCTGCGCGTGGTATTTTGTGGAAGAGCCACAGTCAAGGGGCCAAAGAGCCGCATGTGGCTCGCGAGCCGAGGTTTGCCGACCACTGGGGTAGACAAACAGGGCCTGGCTCTAGTCTCAGCTCTGCTCTGACTTGAAGGATGGTCTTGCATCAGCACTGGCCTCCTGAACCTCAGTTTCTCTGTGTGCACAATGGGAAAGAGGAGGTTTCCATAGAATGGCCACTGGCCAAAGATGGCCCTGGAAATAGACTTCACATTCAGGAGCTTTCATTAAAGAATGTGGGTTTCGCCCTAACTGGTTTGGCTGCTAGTCTCAGCTCTGCTCTGACTTGAAGGATGGTCTTGTGTCAGTCAGCACTGGCCTCCTGGACCTCAGTTTCTCTGTGTGCACAATGGGAAGGAGGAGGTTTCCATAGACTGGCCCACTGGCCAAAGATGGCCCTGAAAATAGACTTAATTGGGTAACACATTCAGGAACTTTTATTAAAAAATGTGGGTTTCGCCCTAACCGGTTTGGCTGAGTGGATAGAGCATCGGCCTGCGGACTGAAGGGGCCCAGGTATTCTGGTCACTGAGTGGATAGAGCATCGGCCTGCGGACTGAAGGGTCCCAGGTTCGATTCTGGTCAAGGGCATGCATCTTGGTTGCGGGCACATCCCCAGTAGGAGGTTTGCAGGAGGCAGCTGATCGATCTTTCTAACTCTCTCTCCCTCTCCCTTCCTTTCTGTAAAAAATCAATAAAATATATTTTTAAAAAAATGTGGGTTTCCTGATCTTGAACCAAATTCCTTGTTGGACCTGCAAGGTGGCAGCTGCTCTCCTTGGGCATGTGCCCTCGAGATCCTCACAGACAAGAGGTTCTTAACCAGAGGTGATTAGCTCCCACAGGAACATCTGGCAATGTCTGGAGACATTCCTGATTGTCACAACTGGAGGGCAGAGGGTGCTATTGGCATCTAGCAAAGAGGCCAGGGATGCTGCTAAAGACCCAACAATGCACAGGACAGGCCCACAACAAAGAATTAGCCAGCCCAAATGTTAACAGTGTGAGGGTTAAGAATCTGCCAGAGACCCTGGTCCTATCCTGCCAACACCTGAGTGTGTACACCTGGCACCAACTGACTCTTAAAGACCCTTCCTGCTCTGAGATTGGGGTGACTGGGAACTTTAGCCCCTTGCCCCACCCCTTGGCTACCCTTCTATGAGTGTTTCAAGGGCGCTTCTGCCCCAGGTGAGTCCCTCGTCTCTTCCCACAGTGGTGAAGGTGGAGAGGGTCACTTACATGGCTTTGGTTTCCAGATGCCCTCTTGTGGCTGAGGATGTCATGAGCAGCACTGAGCATCACCACGTAAGAGAAGTTGTTGCAAAGGCCCAAGAGCCTGGAATGAGCAGGACAGATTACCCCCGTTTTACTGAGATATAATGGTCATATTAGAACAGATCTTAACCTCCTTTCAGGCCCACAATCTAACCGAAATCCTAGCACCAATCCTCCCCTTTCCTTCAATCAAGTTCCCACTTTTTTCTCTATCACCCAGACCTCATCTCCATTCAGTGTTAGGGTTGGAAATATGGGCTTTGGGATCACAGACTTGGGTTCACATCTAGTCTCCCAGACTTCTCCCAGGAAGAGGAGAGAGTCATCCTTGATGACTGTTCCTCTGAGCTCCCCCCAGTTCCTGGGGCATTTCTCCTCCACTGAGCCTCTGTCTCGGATGCGCTGTGGGTCAGTAGAAAGCTCCTGGGGCTTGAAACCAAGGACTATGTTCAGGCCCCAAGTCTGCTGCTTCCTATTGAGTGGTCTCGGTCTACTCATGTGTCAAGCGGCGATACAAATTTCTCTTCCACCTGGAGCAGTCCCGGAAGGGTCAAAACAAGATAATACCAAAGTCCTTTATGATCCATGAAGGATCTTGTTTGCATACGTTCATCCCCTAGAGCAGCACTCAGTGATGGGAATGGAACTGGGCCCAGCGCCAGAGAGTTCATGCGTCCTTTTCACAAGCCCATGAAGGGGGACTATTGCTCTTCCCATTTCACTGCTGAGAAACTGAGACTCAGAGAGGCTATGTGACTAGAGTTACATGGGAAGTCACTTCCAACCCAATCTGCCACCCAAGTCCTCGAAGTTCAGGTGGTGCTAGGAGGACTTTTCAGCACTTAAAGTAATTTTAGGAGGTAGATGGATACTCTTATAAAAAGTGCCCAGCCCTTGTGGCTTAGTGGTTGAGCGTTGACCCATGAAACAAGAGGTCACAGGTTTGATTCCTGGTCAGGGCTCATGCCCGGGTTGCGGGCTCAATCCCCAGTAGGGGGCATGCAGGAGGCAGCCGGTCAATGATGTTTCTCTCTCTCTCTCCCCCTCTCCCTTCCTCTCTCTCCAAAAACCAATAAAAAATATATTTTAAAAAGTAGCGATGCACTTATTTAAGTGTGCATTAGGAAAATGTTGGCTATCCATAGAGTAGTGATTTAAAGTTAAAAAACTACATATATTGCCCTGGCCGGGTGCTCAGTGGTTAGATGTCGGCCCACAGAGGGAAGGGTGGCAGGTGCCCCAGCCCCAGTAGGAGTGAGTGCAGGAGGCAACCAATCCCTGTGTCTCTCTCACCTCGATGCTTTTTTCTCTCTCTCCTTTCTCCCTCCCTTCCACTCTAGGAATCAATGGGAAAAATATCCCCAGATAAGGATGAAAAGAAAACCCCCAAAACGTATATTTATGAATTTAAAGGCTTAATTGATTGGAATAAAAACAAGTAAGTAATCCCACAGGTGGTATGAGGATCTGGCCAAAATGTTAAGGTGGTAAGTAAATGAGTTAAATTTGGGAAATTTACACATTGCCTCAGGCAAACCAAGTGGTTCAGTAAATATTTGTGGATTCAGCTCCTTTTCCAACTCTCTACTCCCCTCTTTCCTCGGGTGGCCCCCCTCTTCCAGCCCCTTTTACTTGTGATGAGCTCTTCGGGCCACTCACCAGAAGCCCATCGCGTTCTTCCAATGGGCGCCCTGCCGGTCCGGCGGCGGGGGCCGAGGTTCCCGAGGTTCCTGGGCCGTCACCTCTCCTGCGAGGGCGAGAGAAGGCATGACCCCCACCCTCTCAGGGGTATGGTGACCCCACGGGTGTCCTCCCGGGTGGCGCCGGCTCCGCTCCGGAGCTGTCAGGGGGATCCCGGGCCAGAGGCAGTCGCTCCAGAGCGGGGGCCGCAGTACTAACCCTCGGAGTCTGAAAGGCGTCGCCGCGAGCCCGCGCTGCCTCCCATGGCATCAAGTTCAGGGTCCCCAGGGGTCCAAAGTCAGCGCACGTTCGGAGTCGGCTCCGATGGGACGGGGAGGGTCTGTGCCCTGTGAAAAGGGTCAACGCCCCACTGCTGGTCCCAGCTGCGCTTCTCTGCTGCGCCCCCCGAAATCCACTACGCGAAGCCGGGGATCCATCTCGCGGCCTCCCACGCCCCACCACGCCCCACCCGTCGGACTCCGCCCCCGCCCCTCTAAAGCAGGGGGTCCCTGCAGCCTGTACCTTTAAGAGCAGCTGAACATTCCGCACCGCGGAGCAGCAGGTCGGCGGGTCACGTGACGGCGCCAGCGGGTTCCCCCATCACGTGCTCGGAGGTCCTCCCCACTTCCGGGTTTCCTCTCTATCTTCGCTGTAGGCCTCGCCAGCTGCGGGGTGTGGGGCCAAGAGAGGCCAGGAGAACCCTGGAACCGCTGGTTTAAAACTGCAGTGGGCGGAATCAGCACGAAGAGCCCTGACGTTAGATGAACGGCGCCCGCGGCCGCGACGGGTCTTGTGCCAACACTCATCATGGCTGCGCGCGGCTTCAGCGCCCGCGGCCCTCACCTGCCAGAAACAAATATGGCCGCCCGGCCACTCATTTCAGCCACGACCGTTTCTGGCCGGGAACAAAGACGGACAGCTGCAGGCCGTTCTTATTCCTTTCTGTTGTCCTGACATTGCTTTAGAAACGGAATGTAAAGGTAACACCCGCCTAAGAGGACGTCATGGAGTATTTATGGGCAGTTTCCAAGGCGTTAAGAGGTCCCTTTACCAAATCATTCTAGAACCAAAGACTATCACAGGAGTCCAACCCCCGCTTTTACAGGTGAGGAAGCAACAAAAAAGGAAAGTTACTGATGATCATACAAAGTTAGATGTGAAGGTGACCTTAGGAAAGCAGCTGGCTGAGCAGGCTGCTGGGGATTCCTGCCTGCACCCAGGGGGCGGAGACCAGCCAATTCTAAGGCCCAAGGTTCTGATTCTGTGATCTCATCCCCTTTATCTAAGTAGGAATTTAGGAAGTAGAGCTCCAGAAGCGGATTAGAGGAAGAGGTGGAGATCAATGCCACTTCACATAGTCCCAAATAAGGAGGGATTCTCACACCTTCCTCTAGGTCAGCGGTTCTCAACCTGTGGGTCGCGACCCCCTTGGGGGTCGAACGACCCTTTCATAGGGGTCGCCTAAGACCATCGGAAAACACATATATAATTACATATTGTTTTTGTGATTAAGCACTGTGCCTTAATTATGTTCAATTTGTAACAATGAAATTGTCACCACAACACGGGGAACTGTATTAAAGGGTTGCGGCATCAGGAAGGTTGAGAACCACTGCTCTAGGTGGTAAAGCGGCATTCTGTGATTTCTCCATTACCTCCTTCCCCCGCTGATATCTCCTACGGGCTTCCAATCCCTGTGCCCCCCTGTGTCCGCTCTTTCTCACAAGCAGGCTGCCTGGCTGCTGTTAGAAATGTGCTCCTTTCCCTTTGGTCTTCCCAGGTCACTCAACCAATGAAAAGTGGGGTTCTACACCCCTGCAGGGCTCTAGAAACTCATCAGTGTGTCATACATGGCCTCTGCCCTCAAGGAACTCACAGGAGGGTGGGAGGCAGACACAAATAACCACAATTCAAAACCTAGCTAAATTTTGTTTCACAAGAATGACTCGGCAGATTAGGAACAGCATTGAAGCCGCCAATCCAGCCCCTTCTTCCCCTTGGGGAAGCATTAATGACCCTGAAATGAGAAGCCATAGCTCTTACCAGCCCCCTACCTACTCCCACTCCTTGTCCCCAGGCGAAACAGGAACCACAAACCCCAGCTTCCTCTCAAAGTGGCTGTGGCTTGTGGGGAGGCGGAAATGGCTGAGGTGTGAATACAAGACCTGAGTCACTTGAGCTGCAGTTGCCACATGCACCCTCCCCCATCCCCAATTCTGAGGTCTCCTGCTCCCATTTTTTCCCTTTCTGGCTTCCGCCTTTGCCCTTTAGCTCAAAATATGCACCTGAGTTCCTTGTGGGGTGCACACCCATTTCCCAGCCTGGGCTGGAAGCTGCTGTGGGCATTGCGGAAGGTGGGTAGGGCCTGGGGTAAGGATACGTCAGGGGGAAACAGGGGAAGAGGAAGTGCTTGGGTCCTGGGTAAGACTGGCTTGTCTTGGTGGGTGGGGACGGTCATTGTCAGCTTTCTGGACACACAGACACAGACAGGATGGATTTCCTCCGGCTGCATCTCCCAGGGCTGCACCAGGCCTTGAGGGGGACACTGGTGAGAGGGGCAAAGAGATGCCGGGGACTTTCACCCTGCTCCCCGGGACCTCACCTTCCCTCCCTTTGAGTCTCTCAGACTTGAGATTCCTTCCCTAGGATAAGGCAGCCTCTAAACCAATCTTTCTGGATTTCAATCCTCCCCCCTCCACAAACCTATCCACATACCCCAATCTAGGCCCTTTCCTATTCCTTCTGCAGATCCTGTTGTCCTCCTTCCAGAACCCAGAACCCCTCCTCCTATTCTGAGTTCCTCTGGCCCAGGGCCCGCAGGAGAGAGCTGGGCCTTCCCTTAATGCCTTTGTCTCCCCCTCTCCCCATTCTTCTAGGATTCCTTAAGTACCTTTGTCTCCTACCTTTTGGGAGATGAGGTCCCCACGGTAGAGAGGGGAGAGGCGTGTGCAGCTCAGGAACTGGGGGAGGTGGCCACAGGAAGGCCAGGAAGAAGTGTAGAGGAGGAAGCCCAGGAGGCCCTGGAGGTTGTGGGAGGCAGCCAAAGCAAGGGGCATGGAGGACTGAGAGGACCTGGAGAGGCTAGAAGACACCAGGAGGGAAGCTCAGCTATAGAACAGACCTGGAGTTGGGGAGAAGGCAGCTCCCATGGATCTCAAGGAGATAGGCAGGACACTGGGGTGTGGGAGGCAGTCAAGGCCTCCAGGCGCCAGGAGCCAAGTGCCCCCTTGGAGGCCAGAAAGAAGTCTGACGCAGGGTCTGAGGCTGGCCGAGACGGGAGCAGCCCAGCCCAGGAGAGTCAGGAGTGCAATGAGCAGGAAGTGAACAGAGAAGAGACACCGAGAACCTGGGAACAGGAGGAGGAGGAGGAGAAGGAGGAGGAGGAAGAGGTCAGGGCAAGAGAGCCAGGGGGGGCCAGAGGGGTGGAGTCAGAGTGGACCTGGCGCAGGGAGCCTGAGGGAAAGTCTGGTGCCCATGGCCAAAGGGTGGCAGGGGATGGCAGGGAGTCAGAACAGGCGGTCAAGGAGGCAGTTGCAGAGGAGACCCAGGGAGCTGGGGCCAAAGAGGCCGGGAGGGAAGGAGAGGTGGTGGCCGTGGAGAGGGATGGCCAAAGCACAAAGGCACCGGGGACTCAGGACCCAGGGGCAGCATCTGAGGATGGGACAACCTTGGGCAGAGAGGAGGTCAGGACAACCTCAGGTGGGGAGGAGGCCTGGACAGTCTCAGGTGGGGAGGAGGCTGGGACAACCTCAGGCACAGAGGCGGCTGACTTCCCAGGAGTCAGGGAGACAGAAAATGGGGCAGTGCCAGGAGATAGGAGCCTAGAGGGTACAGGGAGAGTCTGGGCCCTAGGAGAGGCCTCCAGGGGAGCCCAGGAGGAGGAGGTGGGTGGAAATAGAGAGGCTGAGGTGAGCCTGTGCCTGAAACAGACTCAAGTCCTGGGAACTGAAGGAATGGGAGAAGTGGCTGAGGTCCAGACAGCAGGGAAGGAGGGCGCGGAAGGCCCGGGGTCAGAGTGGGAGGCAGGGGAGGGCTTTGAGGGTCGGGCAGATCAGGATGGGAAAGAGGCCAAGGCAAGGCAAGACGCAGAGATCAGGGCCGCTCAAGCCAGTCCGGAGGAAGTGGCGCAGGCACAGGGGGCCAAGGAGGAGAAAGAGAGTTGCTGGGCCACAGAGGCTGAGCTCTCCCAGGACCAAGTGGCAAACAAGGCTGAAGGCGATGCTGACTTTGCGGCAACCCCAAAGGCCACACCGGAAAAGGAGTTCGGGGAGAAGAGGAGTGAGGAGGGAGCTCAGATGGGTCGAGAAGAATTTGGGGTAGAGGGTGGTGGCCCAGAGCACAAGGTCACTGAAGTGTGGGACGTTGAGCAGATAGGCGGCCTCCAGACCCCAGTGGAACAACCCGGGGAAGGACAGCAGGTGGAGGAAGAGCTCTGGAGCATTCCAGCCCAGAGCAAAGGGGAGACAGAAAGGAGCCTGGAGGGCAGTCCCCGGCACACGGGGTATGTAAGGCCTGAGGCTGAAGTCTGGGAAACCCGGAGGAAAAGGGATGTGGAGAGAGGGAGTACCCAGGGGGAAAAAGTAGGTATGGAAGAGGAGGAGCGGGAGGCTGTGGGAGGCCAAGAGCCTGCACTGCCACAGGTCCTGGAGGCAGGCGGAGAGTGGAAGGAAGCAAGGCATCGAGCAGAGAGCCAGGAGCTGGGTGGAAGGCACGGGGCAGAGTTAGGGACAGGCTGGTCCCTGGGTGAGTCAGATGCCAAAGAAACCGAGGATGAGGAGGTGGGGGCCGCAGTGCCCTGGGAGGCAGAGAGAACACCCAGGGGAGGCGGGAGGCTGGAGGAGGCAGCACCGAGCTCCCAGGACAGTGAGGGCACACGGGCCAGTTCCTTGGCTGCCGGGATCGTGGAGCATAAGGCAGCTTCAGATGAGAGGGCTGCTGGGACTGGGGAAGGGCCTGAAAGAGAGACGGGGGAAGCGTGGGATGGGGCATTTGGAAGAGGCTGGGACTCAGAAGGGAAAGAGGAAGCTGGCAGAGGTGCAGAGGTGATGGAGGCTGCAGAGGGAGAGAGCAGAGGCGGGCAGGCATTTGGCCTGGAGGGCTCCGCAGAAGAGGAGGTTCCTGGCAGAGGTGGCCAAGTGGAGGCTTTTGAGGCTGGGGAGGGTGAGCCAGGGGGGGAGGCTGGGGAATCGGCAGTGGCAGACGGAAGCTGTGGGATGGGTGGCTTTACCTCAGGCTCCCAGGCGGTGAGGGCAGAGGGGACCATGGTCGTAGTGGAGGCCGAGGGGTTCCCAGAAGGGCAGATGTTGTTAGAAAAAGAGGCTGGGGCACGGGAGGCAGGGCAGCAGGGGCGAGGCAGCGAGGGGCAGCGTGGGGACCAGGGTCGTGAGGCAGAGGCACACATGCCCTGTGAAATGGAGGACGTGGAGGTGAGCGGACACCAGAGGGCCAAGGCCAGGGAGCTTGAGGCAGAAGACCTGGAGGACGCCCAGGGCCAGGAGGACCAGCCAGCAACCCAGGAGCCCGGGCCACGTGAGGAGGCTGCCCGAGGGGATGCTCAGGGCAGCTGGAGTGAGGTAAGGGCTCTGGGAAGGGTCCAGGGCCAAACAGACCAGAATCCAGAAGCCAGCCCCGTACCACTCAGTGCTCCCTCCCTGCAGGCCCTCCTCCCTGTGTCTCGCCTGGACGTCTCTGTCCCGCGGAGCCGTGTGCTCCTCTCCCGCAGCTCCTCACAGCGTCGCTCCAGGCCCTCTTTCCGGCGTGTCCCCGCCCCTGAGCAGCAGCAGGAGCCTGCCAGCCCCCCACCAGAGGAAGAACTGCCAGCCCCTGAGCAGACACTTCTCTGCCCAGAGGAACCCCCAGAGCCAAGCCTCCCTAGGCCTGAAGGGACCCCAGTGCCAGCTAGGAGAAAGCCCCTGGGACATGGGTAAGCGCTGGGTGAAGTGGCTGGGCTGGGCTGGGCTGGGCAGGAGGCTCTGGACACTGGAGACCAGCTCCCGGCCTGTCTTCCATCTCCAGGTTCGGCTTTGCACACCCCGGCATGATGCAGGAACTGCAGGCCAGGCTGGGTCGGCCAAAGCCCCAGTGACGGCACCGAGACCCGGGAGCCAGGCCCTGAGTGAGAGGCGGAGGGCTCGGCTGAACCCTGCTCAGCCTGCCTCCTTTGGCCACTTGGGTGCACCCTATCCGCCTGCTGGGCCTCAGTTTCTTACTGTTCCATCCACGGAGCAGACAGAACCAGCCGTCTCTGAGAATCATGAACTTAAGGAATCTGACTCTCCAATGCAGCTGGTGGACCGCCTGCCCCACGGGACCACTGCTCACAGCCTGTCCGGACAACCTCCCCAACCGGTCTGGGCAGCTGTCTGGAGGCCTGGAGGGGACAGGGACAGTCTCCCACAGCCTCCCCTCTCTGCTTGCCCCCAGTCCCCAAGGCCCTCCCCAAGCCGCGGAGAGCTGTGGGAGGAAGGCAAACCTCTGGGGTGAAGGCAGCCGGAGGAAAGGGGTGAGGAGGGCCTATGGAGCTCCATTTACAATCAAAGGTTTGATGCAAGTGGACCAGCCACCTTAAGGTTCCAAAATGGGAGCTCAGCCTCAGAACTCTGCTAGTGACTGTGGCCACCACCAGCTGAGCAAGCCAGAGTGGAGAAAGGTGGGCCAGGAACCCCAACGTGTAGGAGCAGAGAGGGATCCAGGGTGGCCAGAGGCTGCAGAGCCCATTCTTCGCCCCCTTTGGGTATCAGATACCCCTTCTCTGAAAAGAAGCCGAGGCAGAGAGAGGGTGAGAGTGCTTTATTAGGCACCCAGAATGGCGGCCTAGCCGAGGACAGCCAGCAGGTCCCAAAACAATAAATATCCCATCATTTCCCTGAACAATAAATAAATATCCATGAAATAAATACCCAGCCAGGACTGGAGGGGCCTTAAGTTATTGGGGAGGGTCTGGGGAGGGAGGGCAGTGGAGTCCTGCCTTGTCTAAGGCAGGGAGCTGGTGGCTGTCCTGTTGGCCCAGACTCGTGAAATCCTAACCGGTGAGGGAAGGGGCTGAGAAACCACTCCATCAGGGCTGGGAGCCAGCCAGTGTTGGGCACCCCAAGGCCTGGCCTGGGTTCTTAGCCTGGGAGAGCAGCAGCAAGTCCCGCACGGCCCGCGACAAGACCAGCTCCAAGGAGTGCAGCAACTGGTAGGCATAGAGGAGCTGGGGCCAGGACATCTGGGCTGACGTCTGTGAGGGGCCGTCCAGGGCCCCTGGGGGCAGCCCCTTCCCCTCCTCGTTCTCCTCCTCGGGGAGGTTGAATCCTGCAGCCAGCACCTGTGAGGAGAGGCTCACGGTCAGAAAATGGTCCAGCTGAGATGCTGAGCGAATCCTTGTTCCTTTACGTGCCTAGTGGTGCCACATGACGCCAGAAACCATAAAGCCGTGATTTCCCTACTTCAGCTCTTCCATTACGTCATCACCTCATGTACCATGCCTGGTGTTTTTTGTTTCAAGAAAATGGAAGTCACAGAGCAAGCTGGTGCTCACGGAGGGAGCTGGCTCACTCATCCAGGATTGCTCTAGGCCAGTGATGGCGAACCCATGACACGCGTGTCAGAGCTGACACGCGAACTCATTTTTTTGGTTGATTTTTCTTTGTTAAACGGCATTTAAATATATAAAATAAATATCAAAAATGTAACTCTTTGTTTTACTGTGGTTGCAAATATCAAAAAATTTCTATATGTGACACGGCACCAGAGTTAAGTTAGGGTTTTTCAAAATGCTGACACGCCGAGCTCCAAAGGTTTGCCATCACTGCTCTAGGCACCGGGGTTCTGGAAATTCCTCTCTTAAGGGTCATGTTAGGATCGGAAATGGGCAGAAAGGTGATACAGCTTGTCTTTCTGCTGCTTGCATTTTCGATTCTCCTTTTAATAAAGGTAACATTTTTATTTCCCTGTGACGTGTTCAGCAGGACCTGATGATGTCAGAGGATGACAGGGAAAAGGGAACCGACTATTACTGGTCCTGCAGGTGCTGGATGCTGTGCTGGGTGCTTCAGAGCTGTTCTCTCATTTAAGACCAAGACCCCAAGAGATTCAGGTAGAGCCAGGACCTGCTGCAGACACACACACACACACACACACACACACACACACACACACACACACATCCTTCACACGTACACACTCGGAGGATCTGGAGGATCTCCCTTCAGACTTACCCCACCCGTGGGCATAGGGGTATTTTTAAAAGGGAGCCAATGACTCCTAGTTTTGGTCTCTGGGGGTCAAGGAGGGTGGCTGGGTACTCTACCTGGAAGTGAAGATGCCGCTGCAAATCTCGGAGATCCAGCCTCATGGCCCGCAGCTGTATCTTCTCTGAGCTGGTCCAGCTCCCCTGGGTCCCCAGCCCTCCCAATAGGGCTTGGAAGGGGTGCAGTGTCATGGAGAGGAAGAACAGTCGCTCTGATCCCTGTGGAAGCAGAGGGAAGGGGTCAGAAAAGGTCCCCAGGGCAAGGATGACCCACTTCAAACCCAACCTCATGTCTCTCTGGGCCCCATTCCCATCCCAAACTCCACCCGAATACCTGTTCTCATCCTCAACTTCATCTCCTCCAGTTCTCCCCTTCACTCATCACCAATCTAGTCTCCGCTGTCTTTGACCTCTATCCTATCTCCTTTCTCAGCCTCACTTTCAGTTGCATGTACAACCTCATATCTAACACCAAACCCATCTCCATTGTCTTATCACTCTCTACCCACAAACCCATTTTATTCCTTTCTTCACCATCCCATCCTATCTCCATCTCCTCACTTGTTTTCAGTCTGTCTCCAACCTCTTTCCTATCCTTACTCCCATTCCTATTCCCAATTAGATTCCTTAACCATATGTCCAGACTCATTCTCTCTATCCCATCTCCAACCCCATCCCAACCCCATTCCATTCCCATCCTCACCAGTAATCCACACCCCTTCTCATCCCCAACCTTCTTCCTATTTCCAGCCTCTCCCCATTCTCATCCTTCCTCCATACTAATTTCTATCCCTAATCCCATTCCATTCCCACCCCACCCTTTTCCATGCCCAGCTTCACTTTTACCTTCTTTTTAACTCCATTTCTTTATTCAGCTTCATCTTTATATTCGATGACATACTTAACCTCATCCAGACTCTGTCTTTCAATTTATCCCCAAATCTATCTTCAGTTCAATCCCTGATTTCATCTCTATTCACCCAGCCCAGCTTTATTGCCAGCTCACTTGCAGCCCTCCCCACCCCCAAAACCTCTCCCCACTCACAGAGAGGCTGCACCAGGCCTGGAAGCTCAGGGAAACATTGGGGAGCTGCTGTCCCAGGGGCAGGAGGTCCAGGTTCACTCCTGGCAGGTGAGCTTCAGCCTGTAGGGCAAGGTCTGTTAGTGGGGGCCAGATGGGAGTGAGGGTCTGCCCATCCCCAGAGCCAGTTGCATTAGGGAAACTCACAAAGCGGTGGGCCTGGGCCTGAACCTCGGATAGTAGCTTCCTGGCAAGATGCAGGCTGACCTTGAACTCCTCCTCTAGGCTCAGGGGGAGTCTCCCTGGGGGCCTTGGAAATCCCCAGACACCAGCTCGAGCCAGGAGCAAGGAGAGCAGCAAAAGGCCAAGCCCTGGAGAGATGAGGAGAGGGTGGGCAAAATGAGGGGAGAGCTTGAGGAGAACTTGCGAGAAGGGAAAACTCAAGAGAAGGTGCCTTTTCTGAGCCTGTGCTACGGGCCTGTGTATCATCCCACTGACCCCTCAAAACCACTAACGGATGGAAGCTGCTGAAGACACCATATGGCACATCTGTGTGACTGAAAGGCAAGTGCCCTTTCCCCCAGGCAGACACAGCCTTGCACAGCCCCCACTAACCCCCTTGGCTAAGTGTCTTTTCCAGTGAACTAACTGCACAACTCTGTGTGGCAGCCTGGGTGCTATTATTCTTCCCATTTTGCAGATGAGGAGAGTGAGGCTCAGTGAGGTTGACTTGCCAAGGTACAGAGGGTGAGGAGATCAGAACTGGACTCCGGATCTGTCCAAATGCAGACCCTGTGAGCTTCCCCCGGGGATCTGAGAGCAGGCACCACCTCCCCTGGAGCAGGCACACACTGTTCTGCCAAGGATTCCTCGGGCTTGGCCTCGGGCCCCAGAGTGGCTGGCAGTGCTGGAGGCTCTACCCCAGGGAGTCAGAGGGCAGACTGATCGAGCCACTATCAAGGCGAGTGGGTCACTCTGCAGTGAGGGAGGAACAGGGGTGCTGGGAGGGGGAGGAGGCCTGGAACGGGAGGTAGAGCCTGTTTCTCATTTGGATTCTTCCCTCAAGCAAGTCACCTCTTATTTCTGTGCCTCAGGCTCCCGTCTGTAAGATGGGGGAGTCGGACTAGCTGATTTCTGAAAGTGCTTCCTGTCCTGTGTTTCCTGAGCAAAAGGAAGAGGCGCAGTGGGGCGGGAGCTCTGGGAAGAGAGCAGCGTTCAGCGGTTTCTCCCTCAGGGAGAGGAAACCTAGCAATCACTGGGTTACACAATTCTCCTCGAAACACAAACCAAAACAGTCCCTAAGTCTGTTCCTGCTCGCCCCCTCTTCCTGCCTCTTCCCTGTCTGTTCTTGATCCCTCGCCCTGGGCTCTGCTCCTCGAAATGTCCTCTCCGTAAAGACCACCGGGAGTTTCTGGGTAGGTCCCCCTCCCCTATGGACTTCCAGAGAGGACTTCCAGTGCCTGGCTCTCAAATTTCCAGGCTCCCTGACTTGGGGGCCACTCTGGGCTCCTGGAGACTTTGGGCAGAGTGGGGTTCTTCCCAGGTCTGTGTTGAGGGAGAGGGGTGCCCAGACTGGTGGATATGGCCCACCCATTGAGCTGTGTCATTTCCTACTGACCCTCCACTTCCTGCCTGAGCTCTGGAGCCCCCAGACCCTTCCCTTGGCAGACAGTCCTGGGTCCTTGGTCCTGGCCATTGAAGGTTCTGTCCCATCCTTTAGTCCTTGGTCCCTACTCTGACCCTGCTATCTGCTCTGGTCCCAGCCTCCGAGTCCTTCAGTCTCCAACTGCAGAATGGACCTCCCCCCAGGCTTCGAACTACAGACCCCTGTAGTTAGGCTGCTGACGCCTTGGCCACAGCCCCTGACATGAGCCAACTATTCCTGCTGTTCTTCCTCTAACCAGCCCTAGTGCTCAGCCAAGCTCATTCAGTCCAACCCAACTCTTCATTTACCTGCCAGGTCTGGGTTCTGGTCAACCTGCCTGTCCAACTCTCTCCATCCATGCCAACCAAACTGTCTCATCCTCTATCCAGTCGCGGCTGAACCATCACCTGACTGTCCAGCCCTTCTTCCCCCTCCATGCCGGCCTCCTTCCCATCCTTCCGTCAGCTGTATCCTTAGTCTGCCAAATAGTAGCCCCTCAGCCCTTCACCCCCACCCACACCAGTCAAGCTCTCCCATCCTCTGCCCAGTCTCAGCCAAGCCTCCCACCCCTCTGCCCCAAGCCCTGGCCTCAAACTCACGCCAGCCAAGGTCGCCTGCCTTCTGGCCCATGGCAGGGCCCAGCCTCTTTGGCCAGCCATCTCCCGGGCCGGGGGAGTCTTATACTGGGGGCTGTGCCCAGTTTCACTTTCCGTGCTGCTTGTACTTTCAGCTTTGCTTTAACTCAGTCTTCCCTCCTCACCACCCCTTGCTAAATGGGGAAATGTAATTTCCCTTCCCAGAGGGGGTGTGGTGGGGGATGGTGGGAAGCTGGGGTTCTGTCAATCCAAGCTGCTGACCCTGCTGAGCTCCAGGTCCAGTCTTCCCCTCACTTCCCCACTCTCAGGTGAGCCACCTGCTCTATTTGCTGGTAGGTCCCAGAGACTTGAATCCCCTCCTGTTTCTCTGCTCTGTCATTATCATTCTAGTGCCATCACCAGCCTACTGTCCTTCAAAAGATGAATGGCCAGGTAAGATGACTGTCCATCAGAGGGGACTTAGGGTCTTACTCTCTTCTGGGTTACCAGATGGCTGAGGAAGGGAAGTTGGGGCTCATTGGGTGTCTGGGATGGGGCTTTGTGTGGGGCAGAGGGATCTCAGTCTAGGCAGAGTCAGGGCTCAGTCTACAGCCTAGGTCAGGGTTGGATGAGAAGTTGAATTCAGTGCCAAGTGCTCAGTCTTTCGCCAGAATCAGATCTTGAATTAGAACTCACTCTATAATTGGGATCAGAACATGGTCTAGGGTTGGACTCAGAGATTTGTCTGGGGCTAGCATCCTGGCTCTTTGTTTGGGGTCAGAGCTATTAATGGCCTGGGGGCTCTATGTGGGATGAACTAGGGTTGGGCTCAGTCCAGAGAGGGTACAGAGCTCGGTCTGTGGTCAAGGTTCTGACAGCTTGTGACTCAGGTCAGGGCTGGGATAAAAGCTCAGTTGATGAGCAGGTTAGGGCCCAGCCTGTGGCCAGGTTGGGTTGTGTGAGGTCAGGACCAGGCCCCGGCCAGGTTCCAGAATAGTTTCTGCTCTGTAGACAGCTGTCAAGGCTGGGTTGCATCAACCACAGATCTTCCTTCCAGCACAGCCCCGCCCTAAGCCCCACCCTGGATTTCCCATCTTCAGGGAGAAAATGGGGGTTTCTTGGTCTTCCCCAAGGCCCACTGCTGCCACTTTCCTTTTGGGACCTGCGGGGTTTCCCTATTGGGTCCCTGCTGTGAGACAGAAACCAAGGGGGCTTCCCCTTCCTATGCCCTGCCTCCTCAGCCCTGCCTTGGCACTGCCCACCAGGGTAGCCTGGGACCAACTGCCAGGGAAGTACCAGCACCAGCCAGGGATCAATCCCTGAGGACTGTGGAGGAGAAGGAGAAGGAAGAGCGACTGGCACCTGCCTAGCCCAGACTGGTTTCCCTTGCTGTGCCCCCCAGTGGTGGCAGCTCATCCCCCGCCCCCCCCATGCCATGCACCTGGTGCTCCCTGATGGAGGGCGGGGGTCCTACACATCCTTAGGCTCATGGTGAGGACCGACAGAGGCTCTGGCTGGCTTTCCTCACATCCCAAGTCTTGCCATCATCCTAGAGACATGCCCACACACTCACTCCCTGACCATAGCCATGCCTGACCTCTCAAATCCTGAACCCCATCTCTTGCTCTCTGGCCCTCCCAACATTCTCTTAGGGTTCCCGAGACCTCTGCCCCTTGCTGCTTCTCTGCCCTCCTCAGTCAGGCTGCAGCTGGCTCCTCCAGCCTCACCTCTCACTCCCACTCTACTCCTGCTCCAGCCCCTGGAGCTTCACGCTTGAACACGATGTGCCACCTCATACTTCTTTGCCTTTGCACAAGCTGGTCTCTGCCTAGAATGCCCTCCCTGCCTTATAGGTCTTGTCACAGGCTGCCCCCTGAATGGCTTATTCTTTCCTGCCATAAAGCGTGTCTGCAATGGGCGTTGAACATTGGCTTATCTCGCGCACTCTCTCCTCACTCACACCACTCCAGCCATCCCAGCCTCTTTGTTGCTCCTAGAACATGCTAGGGATGCTCCTGCCTCAGGGCCTTTGCACTGCTGTTCCTTCTGCCTGAACACCCTTCTTCCAGATATCTGCAAAGCGTACCCTCGCCTTACAATTTCTGCTCAAATGTCAAGTTCTCAAATAGGGTCTTTAGGGACCACCCTACTAAAAACTGCAACCCTGCCGCCAGCCCCCTCTGTTCCTCTCCTGCATTTTTTCCCCCTGCATAGCATTTTAGATATATAATATTTTTAGATATTTAACATTTTCTCAATCATTTTTTGTTTGTCTTCATGTACTAGGATGTGGGTTCCAGAAAGGTGGGGATTTTTGCCTGTTTTGTGCCCTGATGTGTCCCCAGTAGCTGACAATACTAGGTTCATGTTTACTCACCCAACAAATCTGCCTTCCCCACGAGGGCCTCATCGAGGTTCTGCTCAGGCTGGTGATCTGTAAGCCGCCGGGGGAGCAGCAGGTCTGGGGCCAGCCTGAGCCCTGAGGTCTCACTGCCAGCCTCCTCCCACTCTGGCCAAGGCTTGGGCACCTGGACATGGCCCTGGCTGATGATCTCAGCAGAACCTTGACAAGAAGCCAGAGGGCTAGTGAGGGCAACGCCAGCCTCTGTCCACATCCTTGGAGGATGGGCCTGGGCCCATCTCTGCTTACCTGGGCCTCAGTTTCCACAATAAGATCTTGGTTGGTGGGCTGAGGCTTGGGCTGGGGCCAGTGGGAAATGGAAGGGATGCGGTGAGGGGTGAGAACTGCGGGAAAGGAAGCCAAGAATCCCATGTGGACTGCAGTGTGCAGCTAACCCCCTGGGCCTCAGGTGAGTCACAGGCCTGCCCTGGACCTCAGTTTCCTCCTTGAAAAGTAATAGCAATTTTCAAATGATGCCACTATTATTATGGAGAGAATGAAAACCTAGAGGATTTTTAAAAAGAGAAAGAACCATACACCCATTTCCTGATTATGTTCCAAGCCCTGACCCAGCTCTGGCCTGTGGAGCACTCCACGGGGTTGCCTGGGAATCCTGAGCTCAGGAACCAGAAGCTTCAGCTGTGACATCAGGATGGAATCAGGAAGGGAAATATCTTATTCAGTGACAGAAGGAAGACTGGAACTCAAGTGGGGAATCCCTGGGCCCTGTGATGTCATCATCATTGAGGCTTGAAACAAATCCCTAAGTGAAACCAAGATGGGCTTTAGTGCAGGCGGGAAGGCTGGGGGGAGGTGAGGTTGGAGCTGGGGCCACACCTCTGAGTCTCCCGAACATAGGATATGAGACCCTGAGGCTAGGCACTGCACTGCCCACCCCCTCCCAGGAGAGCGGGGGTGGGGGTGGGGCGGGTGGTGGTGGTGGTGGTGGTGGAGGTGGACGAGGCCTGGAGTCCCATGATCACTGGATCTCT